ATGTTTGTGCATCTCCCACCGTCCCGTAGGTCTGTCCAAACTGCTCCGAAAAAATTTGCTTGCAGTTCTGTGTAACAGGAGAAAACTTCTGAGATTCACAACTAGTTTGGTCAGCACTGTGACTGGAGAAAAACCAGCTACTTCCTATGAAACTGATGGTCATTTTTATGGAAATAGCTTTATTTAGAAAACATGATATAATTTAGATTAAAATAAATAACGTGGTTTAATGGAATTATGCAATTAACAGGAATAAAAATACAAAGTTTAATGCACAGTTATGACCCGAGTCATATTGGCTTTCTCCTTCCTGCTAGATTATAAACAAATTTTGGATTAAAATAATGGTAGTTTACTCTTTCCATAGCACTGTAATATAATTTCATAGTTAGAGGAAGAATACATTTAAGCCAGCATAGTTGCGTTCTCTCCGTAAATTGAAACAAGTCTGATCTAAAACTCATTTACTGTCTTGGAACAGAATTGATCTTGCTTTCACATTTGATTCCCCCACTGCAGATTTTGAGAGGAAGAAAAATGGCATTGTTAGGTCAGTTTAACTAGGCCAGAGTTAGCCAGAAAAGGCTGGGAGACCAGCTATTACAAACATTTTCTTCTTTTTCCTTTGTCTCCCTCCCTAGCAAATTATGCAAAGGCTTACGGAATTGTAAAACAGCTTAGGGGCAGCGTTTGTCTGGCCCCGCTGATGGATACTCTTAACCTGAAAAGCAATATATATTACTCGGTTTAATAGAAATGCTGGGGTTGGTCCTTCCGACCCCTTAAACCACTGTTCAATTTCCAAAATTTGCATAGATAAGTAACATGGAGAAAAAGTTCCTCTTAAGATCAAATAACATTTCTGATGGTTTTAAGTTTTCAAAGTGGATGGCGGACACTTCTGGTCAGATGTGAGGCCAAAAAACCCTATTTATTTTTTTTTAATCTTTTGTTGTTAAACACTGAAGTCTTAACTGTCCAGATGTGCTGCAGAACCACATTTATCTAGGCAGCCTTTGACTTTCAAAACCCCAAGAGGTTGTTAAAAATTTCAGGACAAACTTTGCTCCCTCGGGAAGGGCTGGGAGGCCCCAGTGTGGCCGCTCAAGCTCCTCTGCCCCGTTCCAGTTACCCGGCTTCTAGCAGTTGTACGTTTACAAACGTTCACCTCTTCAGTATAAATGAGAAAAAGGACTTACAGCAAGCCATAAATGTCATCTTAAGTGTATATTTTTGCTAATCCCAACTCTTGCTCTTTTTTTCAGCTAACGGGAGCCTCAAATAATTTAAATTTACTGACAAAATAAGCAGGGGCTACCTTTCTCTAGTATTTTTCAACACTTGATTACTACTTGAGTATTTGTAAGGGAGGGGGCTGGCCCTTGGCCCTCCAGAAAAAAAACTGCTTATTCTTGTCAATTCTGAAATTACTTCAGAAGTTGCAGGCATTGCACCTGTTGCAGGAATGGTACTTAAACGACTCGAAGAGGTCATCAGCAAAAAGCAAGTCTATCCTAGCAAAGTACAGTTGAAAAAATTTGTCAGCGTTACGTTAAAGGAAAAAAAAAAAAAAAGCTGAAAATGAATTCTGTAAAAATTAGAAAATATGACATTGGGTGTTATTGAAAAAAAAAACCCAAATCTTTCCATCATTAGGTCTTTAGAAAAAATATCTTTGAACAATATGACCAGTTCATTTTAAATTTAAGCCTAAAACTATCCCTCGATTTAATACCCGTCTGAAAGATGAGAGAACAGACGTAACAAAAATTCACTGCACTAGGAGTAGGAAGGGATTAAGGGATGTGGATTCCTAACCCAGCTATCCAAATTCATATCTCTGTGGACATTTTGCACAGGGATACATCGAATCAGGAAAAAATCATCCAGAAAGGGTCACGGTTTGGGCTGATCTCTTGTAGAAAAACATTATGCCCGTGGACGTGGGGAAAAAGGGGAGACTGAAAAAAAAAAATGAGAGCTATGATTCTTCACTTTTTCTTTTCATAAAGTCAGAAAAAGATGCAAAGCGGGTTAAATCATATACTTGGGAGTCCATCATTTTTATTTAGCTGGAACTTGATCTCGTGGCAAATTATGAGAATGGGAATCAGAGTTATCAGTGTCTCGTTCATGCCTGTGCTATTGATTTTCCTGAGAAAATTATTTAATTTTCTTAAATCTATCGGCAAAATGGGGCTAACAATGCTGACTGATGTAATATGGTTAAAGCTCTTGAGGTTCAGCAAGGAAAGACGTTTTAGAAATCCAGGGGCTGTATGTTGAAAATAACTGATAAGCTTTAGTATTGTTACCACGCTGTCATTAGTAGAAATGACATAAGGAGCATAGACTCCGCCGCCGAGGGAAGAACCGGAGGAGCTCGGCAGGTTTTGGAGGGGGCCCCCCTTTGCTGCATCCAGCTCTTCGTGGGGCACCCGCCTGCCCTCGCCTGCCGTGCTTCCCGTCGGGAGGGACAGAAGTACTTTGAGAACTGGCAGATGGGCTCGCTCTATCCTAAATGTTGAAAATCTTAAAAAAAAAATCTTTATTTTTCTCCCCTGGCTGAGCAAAATCCAGCCTGGTTTGGGTGTTCCTGATGGCTCTTGTGCTCACGAGGTGGTCGGGGACAAACTCCCTGCGCTCTGCCTCACCACCACTGCTCTTCCTATTTCCGTATGCTGTGGCATACCTGTACCAACGTGGCGTAAACCAGCTGGAACCAAATTATATTTTAATACAAATTTATATAGGAATGTCATTTCCTGAGCTAAGTTACTGCTTGAAGTCGTTCTGCCTGGTAAGTTGTACCCTAATTTTTAATCTTTTGTCAGGGTGTTTCTCACTGGCTTTTTCAAACCTGAGGTTATGTATAAATTATCAAAACGTAGTTTTTACCAGAGCAAATTTTTTAACATCATACTCTCTAAGCAAAAAATTATCTAGATTTCCAGCAAGAAAGACAACACGCCCTGCTTACAGCAATTTGAGCATGCGCTGAACGGAGCGGGACGCAAGAGCAGCACTGGCGCTCGGTCACCAGCTGCCTCCTGGTTTGGCAGGCTCTGCTGTCACGTCACCGTGTTGGGCCCAGCTTTCACTAAGATACCTTTAGTAGATACTCTCTGGCCCGTTTGTGGGCGGCACGCGTGGGTAAGTTTGCTGGAAGGTGCTGCTGCTCCCTGTCCCGCTCCGCGTCGTGAGCTCAAAGGTGCCGAGCGAAGGATCTCCGCAGCCCCCGTCCGCAGAGCTTTTCCAGGGCTAATTACCTCTTTACTGCGCTGACTCTAATGTGACATGTTTATTGCCTTAACTAACAACTCATTAGCTTAGTTGATGTTTTTGTCAATATTAATTCATTCGTTTAAGCCAAGTCAAAGCTTAAACAAAGATGTCCAGGCTGAGAAACGGGCAGCAGAATGACTTTTGTTTAGTTCATCTTTTTCTCCGGCTCAATTTACACAAGGTAGGTGTCAGCAGGAGCAGTGCTGGGAGGATCTCTCTGAGAAGGGCCTGTGTCATTGTAGTAACGTTTGAGTAGTGACGCTTTTTAATAAGCTGCTTATATTTGAGACACAAAATTCGCACAAACTAGAGCTTCGCGGCCTGCCCGGCGCTTCAGGGAGGAGCTTTCAGGGGTTGTTTTTGCACATGTATGAGGGCGTGGTGTGAAGGGGTTAAAGAGCCTCTCTGCTGCTGGCTTTTCGGAGTGCTTAAAACCACAGGCGGTGGATTTAATAAACAAATCAAGCAACTCAGGGAGGACAGTTCTGAAAACTAAAGCAAAACCTGTTAAAATCAATAGGTCATCCATAGCACAATAGCAAGCTAAATGAACGTTATTTAGAGGTGACAAATAATTATGTAGAGATAATGATAAATTATCTTGATCTGGAAGCGCTGCTTGTTTTGGCCCTCCTACGCATTTATATATATGTAATTATTTCGATAAAAAAGCAGTCTAGTAAATGCAATTATTCATCAAGTTTCCTCAATATGCAGAACCTGGATCAGAATTCGGGTGTGCGGAAGTTGTTCAGGACGTCATTTCTCTCTCTTCCCCTGACCCCCTTAAGCTGTCTTTCTCTTTAAAAGGAGAAGAAGAAGAATCAAAAAAAATAAAGGCGTTGTGGGGAGGAGGGAGGGGAGTTGATGAGGATGGACACAGGTCTGTGAGGTGAGGCAGCGAGTGCCTGAGTTCGGTGTGTGGCCCCCGGGAGGGGAGGCCATGGGGCGGGTACCTGTCAGGGCAGAGCCCCCAGCCCCAGCCAGCGTCCTCTGCTGCCATCACGAGAGTCATTTGAAAATGAATTTGAATATTTAATTTGGGAGATTCGCTTGTCTTGTAATTCCAGATCCTGGAATTAGTGCTGCTTGCACTAAGGAGGGGGATCGTTGCTGGCCCATGTTTGTTTTCAGGGGGGGACCTGAGGGGACGGTGTTGATGCAGAGGCACTTTAACAGAAATGTCTGCGTGGCCAGGACACGCAAATGGAACAGAAACGACCCAGAATTCAGTTCCATCACCCACAAGAGGGAAATGTTTGAGCTCACATCTCTAACTGACCTTAACCACCAAATACTGAGTCCTTCAGAGGTGGCGACTTCCACCCGCCCGCGCTCAGCAGCGGGGCAGTGGTGTGGCTGCCCCCAAACCTGAGGGCGCTGCTTCCATCATCATCATCATCCTCATAGTGAAAATCCATGGTTAAGGCTCGACACTGGCAATATTGGCGTGGGCCTGCTTGCCTCAGCTCACTGTGCCGTGGAGCCTGATGCGTTCCAGCCACAAACTGCCCGTCGTTGCTCCCGAGAACGATTTCAAATCCTCGTTGGCAGCGACGGGGGGTGGCAGCGTTGCTCCCGGGCTGCGCGTTTGTGACCCGGTGTAATTCCGGTGAGCGAGCCCTCAGCGTGGCGACGCAGGAGCAGGCTCCCTTGGCGGGTGTCGCCAGGCTCTGCGGCTCTCACCGTGCCCTTGTCTCCCCTCTGCACGGCAGGCAAGGCGCTGACGTTCCTGCTGCTGCAGCCGCCCAGCCCCAAGCTGCCCGCGCACAGCACCATCCGCAGAACCGCCATCGACCTCATCGGCCGCGGCTTCACCGTCTGGGAGCCCTACATGGACGTCTCGGCCGTGCTGATGGGCCTCCTGGAGCTCTGCGCCGACGCCGAGAAGCAGCTGGCGAAGTAGGTAGCGCCTCGATTCGTTTCCCACCCGCGCGTCGGGGGTCTTCCAGGGGTTGGTTGGCACCACCTGGGCTGGAAGCCCCGAGAGTCCCAACGGTTCTGTCATTCCCCTTGGGTTCAGTGAAGGTGAAACGACACCAAACGACCTGTTAAAGTGTTTTACAGGTGGTAGACAATAATTTCAACCTGGGAAAGGATAATAAGCAACGGGGTCTCTTGTAAATCTATAAGAAAGGAAAGAAAAAGAGAAAGAGAGTCAAAGCAATCCAGATCCCCACCCCAGGATCCAGCACTGTCGCATGTCCAGCAATCCTGGGTGGTGGGTGCACACCCAGCAAAGTTTCTGTTGTCTTTTTAATTTCATTTTATTAGCTTAGGCCACAGCTTGTCCTTGAGATTTTCAGTGTCGAGGAATGCTTGCGGCCTTCCTTCAGTTCTGGGTTTTTCCAGTGGTTGGTTCAAACCCTGACGGCTGCGGTGCTTGGCGAGACGGTGGGACAAGGAATATCCTTGTTTCAAGTTTTGCATTTGAACCGGTACCATCCAAATTACAGTTTGGAGCCTGCTTTAGTCTGGCTCTGCTTGCAGTCCCGGGCAGCTCCCCTGGGGGCTCTCGGGGAGGAGAGGGCTGAGATCCGGTCGCTGTGCGGTGGCACCGTGGTACCAGCTCCTGGTGGCGCTGAGGGTCCCCCCAGACCCTTGGTAGGCGTTGCCTGGGGCTGCACAGCATTAATCTTCTGCTCATACTGCCAGTAATTTTGAGAAAAGTGAGCTAAACACTTATATCTAAAATACGTCTGTCTGTCTTTACCATCATAATTTTTTTTACCCTTTCTTAACTATAAAAATCATATTTTCAAAAGGTATTTTCCACCTGTATGTCTGAATATGGGGATTTATTTTTTTTTCCCCATGGTTGTACAAGCCATCCTGTCAGGATGTGAATGGGTTTGGAAAGTACATTTTGGAAATGGTGGCTACTTTATCAACAGCATCTCTATGAATAGCAGCAAGGTAACTTGTAGATTTAAGAAATTGCTAAGAAATCATAAACTCAGTAGACCACAGCCTGTCTCTAGGGTCAGAGAACAACTTATTAAAGTGCCCTAAATCAAGATTTATATGGTATGCTGGCTTGTGCCTCTGTTCTAACCTTCGTGAAATAAAATCTTATTTCAGTTAGGTATCTGTAATTGGGGAGGGGGCAGGTTTCACAAGGAATTCTGAGACTTTGACATCAAATGCACAGCACAAATGTAATCCTGTTTATATATTCCTTTTGTGTGTGTGTGAGTGCGTGGAACTGTAAGTGCCTATTTGTTCCATTTCTTAAGACTTACTAGAATTCAACTTCTAGTTATGGATACGCAGGTATGTACACAAATTATTATGCTTGATAGTGCCGTGGACTATCAATCCTGTCCTCAAATAATTACGGCTAAAACAAATAATTATGGCTAAATGCGTAAGTGGAGTCATTAAGATGACTTGTGTAATAAAGGTACCATCTTGCCTTTTTTATCTTATTTTCTAAGATAATGGGATTCTTGAATATTAGCACTTGGGATTTATTTAATGTGTGCAGCTTCGCAGGACACGAGTAGCATTTCTGTTGAGTGCCCATAAATTTTATGATCTGAGGCCTAAATGTAATAAATTTCAAGTGGGGCCCCGATTCTCCCAGTCTTTACTCACACCATTAATCTGATTAATGACAACAGGACTATTTGCACAGGGAAGGGTTTTGCAACACAGTCCTTATTTTTATTATTGTTTGTTGTAAAATTGATCATCTCATCTGGAATTTATGCTAAATCTCTACCCAAACAATTTTTTCTGTATTTAGTTTTTATAAAAAAGAAAGCAAGCTGCTTAAACCTGCCAAAGGGGAGGCTCTGATTTCTGTGTGTAAATAGAGAAAAACAGTCACTCTGAGGAGCAACCACAGTAGGCTGTTTATATGAATAAAACAATGATACCATGCTTTATGTAATTGGCTTTGAAAGCTATTTCAAGCTTCCTGCTTTTAATGGAAAATCTTGAAAAATATAAGTGAATATACATTAGTGCTGCCTGGGCAGGATTTTTCATTCGTGGGCATAGGAGGAAATTAGGGCCCAGTCAGGACAGACAAAACACGTAGCTCCCGCTCTAGGTTAGAGGGTTGCCTTGAGCTGATACAAATTCCCTATTTATTTGGCTGCCAGTATGAATTAACACCGCAGCGTTGATGAGGTCTGCGGACATCCACTTGGAAAATGGCTGTTACTAAAAAGATTTAAATTTAATGATAATTTCATCCCATAAAATAGAGGAATCGTTGATGTTTTTTTCAAAGAAAACCTCAGCACGTTTCTGTTAAGCAAGTTGATGTTCTTAAGGGCCCAGGCTGTTACCACGTTTGCAAGAGTTAACCTGTAAACCACTCGGGAATTGATAAACCGCTCGTTAATGGGGAAATAATTCCATTCCTAAAGGAGGACGGTCGAGTGGTCTGCGACATCTTCTTTGCAAGGTTTTTGCCTGGGAGAGAAGAAAAAAAAAACATAGTGTCTGAAATTGTCAAGGTCGTCATAATTGATTATTTCGGTATTAATTTTACTGTATTTCTTTCCATAAACCGCAGAGGTTCGTTTTGCAGCGGGTGACATTTTGCTTGCTGGCGTTGAGGTGTCCGTGGAGCTTTCTGGGGGTGTCCTGCAGCGGGTGGGAGAGGAGAGCTCTATGTGACAGGGGAGGAAATGTCTGCAGACTTCCGTGGCACTGCAGTAGGTCTGCAGGGGCCAGGCGAACGCATTCCCCTACCTGTGGGACGGCGGCCTTAGCCCAGGGAGGGAGTGCTTACCTCACAGATGGCCTTCACAGCGCTGCAGTAACTATGTTATTTTAGGTATTAAAAAAATCTTAGCCAGGTTTTTTCTTTTGGTTTATTCTGAGCCTGTTCGCTGAATCCCAGTAAACACTGTCCTGTGTCTCACTATATGAAACTGTGGAATACCCCTCAAATCAGAGATTAGTCAGGCATTTACGTATTTACATTTTCAGTTACTTTTCTATTTTAGACAAGAATTTCTTTTGCTTATCACAATAACATCTGGTGCCACGAGCACTTTTCCATGCCTGTAGCATTTAACCTTGGACTTCAGTGTCACATCTTACAGTTCTGAAAGCTGCTCTGTTAGGAATGGATTTGACTTTGCAGATGTATTTACAAACGTTTGCTTATAAAGATGCACATTTTAAATGCTATGTGCAGTAAGGAACGGACCAGGGCTGTCTTAATACCACGGTTGTGTTTCATCATCCATCCTGGGGGTGTTAAGGTTTCTGACTTTTTTTGTGCTGCGCTAACACAGATATTACCCAGTTGATATGACAGTTTTAATTTTACAGTTTAAAGAATGACAGATGGCCATGTGTTGGGGGGGTGTTCCTGGAGAAATATGTACAGACTGGATTAATACTGTTACTTGTCTGAACTCCAATTATTTCTTGTAGCGTGACAAACGAAACCAAAACGTTTTACCTGGGCTGAGGATCTCCTAAGCCCCACTGTATGTAAATCCAGGCTTAGAGAAGCCGAGCGAACATTGTTCTGCAGAAAGTCGTTTCCATCATGCGATTACACCCTTAGCTGTCATAAAGATTAGTATGGCTCTCTATCCACGGAGCCCTGAATAAATGAATGTATCAGCATGTAGCCTTGAGGAGCCCAATGCAATTTTCATCATGATAAATTGCATAATAAGCGAGAAAGTGTTTGCTTATTAATCCATAACAAGATTTAGATTGAAAATGGCCTGTTACATTCATGACAGATACAGTACCGACTGCAGGCAGAGCAAGATGGAAAGAAATAGAGCAACAATGTGTGCAGGGGGTTAAGTGTGCATCTCACCCTCCCGGTGCCCTGCTGAGCTGCCCCTTTTTGTGCCTGATTTACCGTGTACACAATAACAGCGCACAGCTGCCTGGCTTCTCTCCCTCATGTTAAGAACATTTTATGAAAGAGCTTTTATGTCAAGCATCTGCTTTAAAAAAAAAAAAAAAAAAAAAATCAAAAAATACCGGTGTTTTTCCTTTTTCCCTTCTGAATTGAATAAATATCTGAGCTGTTATCCAAAACTCTGGTATTTATAACCCCCCCACTCTCCCAGTTGATCCAGGTCCCCAAAGGTTACGCTGTGCTGGCCTGCCATGCCGAATGAAACCGCTCAGTTGTGAGGATTAAGAGTTGGTTGGGTTTTTTTCCTAGCGTTTATTAGGCTTTGATTTCTTGGCATGGATGATGGTAGGGATCATTGCTGTCCATTATTTTTGCTCTTTGGATTACAAGCTACAGTTTGGTATAGATTGTGATATAATACACCAAAATTAGCAAATTGCATTCTAATCGATCCGTATGTGTTTATGTATCTGTGTGTACTACAATAATTAGCTAATTCTCTTTAGTTTTAATTGTGTTTAGTGGAAAACTTTACTTTTATGTCCTTAGCCATTCTCGGTGTGGAGCCGTGGGATATAGAGCAGGGACATCCCTAGTTTTCAGTTACGATGGAACATCTTTAGAACGTAGCCTGAAAAACTGCTAAAATTGAGGGGTTTAGAGGAGAAATGTGAGCTGGGGGCTTGGTCCTCGGGGTGATGTGGTGAACTACCACATGCTGCCGCTACAGAGGCGATTTAAACCCGGGAAGCGCAGGGATGTGTGTCGGTGTCCCTGCTGGCTTAGCCCCCGGGTTCCAGGAGGCTGGCGCTGGGCCCCGCGGCCTCTCGAGGAGGGGAGGAAGAACTGTGCCACGCTCGGTGCCTTGGTGCTGCGGGGAGCACCGCGACCCTGCCCCGACAGACGGGAGTGGTTCTGGCCTCTGCTGACGGAGGGGTTTCTGTTAAGTGAGACGGGACATTCCCATCTTCCCTTTCCCCCTTCCGCTGACCTCGGGGCACCCAAGCGAAGTCCCCAGCCCGAGGAGGGAGAGGGCCCGAGTGTCCCTTTTGCAGAAGAGCAGCCTTCCCCGAAAGGCCCCGTCTCGACACCCTTCAGAAGATCCCTGGGGGTCCCCTCTCGGGCCCCTGCATCACCAGCCGGGTCGGTGCTCGGCTGCCTTCTGGGGGCCCAGGTAGCAAAGAGAGATTAATCACAATCGTTACCATTTATGCTGAAATTTCACATTCTTAGTCCCACGAATTTTTCATCTTGTCTTATGGAAGTCAAGAAATGCAGAGATCTGATGGCTGTGTTTTCTGTTCATCACCATCCGAACCAAGGTATGACCTACAGCTCTTCCCAGGCAGCTTGATGGTTTCCACTTGGTTTCAAAATCAGCTTTTTACATGCAACTTTTTTTTGTTGTTGTTTCATAGTGAAGTTCCATGAACATTACTCTGAAGTTGTGATAACTTGTGCTAAACATATAAACAAGTTGTCTATTAAAAAAGTCTAGATTTCATTAAAAGCATTCAAATAGCATATGGTTTCCCCAAAACCTCAAGATACTCAGATTACTGGCGTGGGAGAAGCTGGTGATGGGTTTGAGAAAAGAGAAAGCAGCATTCCCTGACGATGCAGGTTAGTGGCCACTGAGAATGGGCCTTCTAGAAATGAGCAAAAAGGCACAAATAATTGCAGGGATAAAGTTTTTTACTGTCATTTTCAGGTAGATTATAGGCTGTGGTGTTACAGGTACGCCTTGCAGGCGAGGCTGAATCCGTTTTGTCTGGCTGCATCCATTTTTGTGGCAAGTCAGGGGCCAGGATGAGGACAGGAGGGACAACACATGCTGCCGACTCTTGCTGGCTGTGCAGAAGCCCTAAAAACTCATCAATACAAGAACAGAAGTCCGGGTGTGAAAGCCAGCGTTGCCCTCTGTGCGTTAGGTTTGCATCTGCTCTGGTTTTGTTCGGGGTTTCGGAGCGGCGTGCCTGTCCCGTCTCGCAGGGATGAAAGAGGACGTGGGGAGCAGCTGGCCTGGCCCCAGGAGGGGGTTAATCCTGCCCACATACTGCCACTGCTGCGCCCTGCTCCTGAATTTAAAAAAAAAAAAAAAAGCCTGTTGCTTTTCAGGGAAATGCACGCTTTGCCAAGCACCCTGTAAGGAAAAGCACTGCTGGCAGAAACACTTGCGAGGCGCTGGGGGTTTGATTGCTCTCGGGAGATAATGAGCCCCTCTGCAAGCCTGAGTGCGGTACATCCCCTTCCTGGTTCGTCACCTTGGTCCCTCGCATCCCTACAGCATTTCTAAAGTTATATCAAAGATGGGTTTACAAGTAAAAGGCCAACAGGGACATCTCTATTGTTGCAGAGACTTTACTCGTTTTCAAATTCAGTAATTTTAATGCAAACAGTGGTGAGGAGATAGGAAGGAAAATTGTCATAAACTTTGGATTGTATTTATGTGAATTCAGGCCTGTAAAATGGCGATCGATCCATACCTCATCTTGTTACTCTACAAAAATAATTTGGCCGGGAATTCCCGCTTTAACCACTCAGTTATTGTTGCAAAGTACTCGGTTTGTAAGCTTTCACAATATTCAATCCAATACTGCACGTAGAATTATTTTTCAAGACACTTAGAAATCAAGAGGATGTGCTGTCCTTTCTCTCAAAAAGGAGAAAAATTAAATAAGTAATTCAGTTACCACACGCTACCTAAATCCTCTACAAAATCCAGACTTTGCAATAGGCTGCTTGGGTTTGTGAACTTCTGTTCCTCTCTTACCAAACTAAAGCGATTCAGCGGCAGAGCCCGGGGAGGAGGGACCCCTTCAGACTGCCCAGAGCAGAGCGTCGGTCCGTCTGCGGAACTGCCGCGTCCTGCTTATTTTCTCTTCGATTTGCACATGTGGCCTCTTGTTGAAGCCTTGTGGGGAAAAAATAAAAAACAACCAACATTTTGTGTTCTCCATCCTGGCTCCTAAAACGTAGATTTCCTCCTGTCTCACTTCCAGGTAATGTCTGGGATAGGAGACGTCAGAGTAACTTCTGGTGAGGGTAAATAATTTCTCTGGTTTAGCCTGAAGGAAGAGCAGCTCTCAGCTGTTCGCGTCACACGGCGACCAGGCAGGCGAACCCGAATAGTTCTGGAGTTTGAACACATGGCCTGATGATGTGCTTTCCCTCTGAGTGCTCCGGGTTTGGATGACGTGGGCGCTGTGGCTCGGCGTGATGGAAACGCTGACGCTGTGTCGGGGGGTCGGTGTGCCTGGGCTGTGAGACACATCTTTGGGGTTGTTTCAGTTTCTCCTTCCCCTCGCTCATTTACTGTGTCTGACGGTTTTCAGAGCAGAATGAACTTTGACCCTGATAAACCGTTTTTTAGTGATGTGGAAGCTATAGGGGTAGGAGTGTGGAACGGTTGCGCCGTTCTTTGTGGCTCTGCTTTTCTTCCCTGGCGTTAAAGTAGTACAGCTCTCAATTTCCAAATACCAGATTTCATTTTTGCTCAGTGTAGTTACTGGGTACTTACTACCTTAGTGTCTCTTGCATTTATCTTGTCAGAGCAAACAAAAACATTGTGTAGGGAAAGTTTAGATGCCGGTTAATTCCTTACTGTTGTTCAGAGAATTGCAGTTAAAAGAAAAAAAACTTGGTATTAGAAATTCTGAAGAGCTTTTGAATAATTCCAGTGATGAGAAGACATAAGGTGCAGGACTGTCTGTCATCTCATCGTGCTGCTGCGCCCGAGTCACGCACTAAAGAAAATCAAACCGAGTAGATTGGGGGTTTTGAAGTTCTTCAAGAAGCTTCTTGCTTTTCTCGCCTGTAACCAGCGCTTAGCTGAATTAAGGAGAATTACTACGAAGAGGGTATTTTTCAGCTTGCGTTTAAAACGTCGTAAAAGAATAAACCATAAATTCTTGGGACGACGTTGCGCGTTTGCTTGGGCTCAGCCGGGTGATATGTATTCAGCACGTACAGATAATTTGTTAACAAGGCCTTTTTAACACTTTGGACAGATGCACATACTGTTTTCAATCTTCATGGTTAATTATTCGATTTTGTATTTGATGATAGAACACCCTGACTCCTAATCACTGCTCATTGTTGGAAGTCCATTATATTCTAACTGTTTGAGTGCTCCCGTTGACCTTGAACTGACATTATAAGCTGTTTCTAATCTTTTCACTCTATATGTCTAATGCTCCTTTTCTTTCTCCCCGCTTTGTCTGGTGCCCGTTTAGCATCACAATGGGGCTGCCCCTGAGCCCCGCCGCCGACTCTGCCCGCTCGGCGCGACACGCTCTGTCCCTCATCGCCACGGCCCGACCACCCGCCTTCATCACCACCATCGCCAAGGAGGTGAGAGGGGCCGCTCGGCTCCGCTGATGCAGATTTTCCCCCTCTGGCCTTGTGGCTCCACGAACGCAGATGGAGCATCGGATTGTCCCTCCCTCCCCAAAAAGGGAAACGGTTCGAGTGTGAATGTTTGCGTGCCTGCAGGTACCCACGTCACCCCAAACTGATGACAGGAGCGATGTTCAGCAAGGCCCAGGAGTTGTGCCTGTCTTAATTTGCTGCATCCTGGTTATCTAAACTTCCAAGAGCCACGTGTAAAACCCCACGCTCTTGAAGCAGCGCACGCATGACCCCGTTGAGTAGGAACTAAAGGGAGAGGGGTTGGGGGTGTGGAGGAAGGGACGCTGCTCACAGCTCGGGCTGTCTGAGGGCTGTCTGGGTGAAGCTGGTACAGCCGGGAGCTTGGGCTGAGCTAAAGGAGCAGGATGGGCCCTGTTCAGCGACAGGCAGAAAAAAAAAAAAAAAGCCAGTTATAAAGCAGCAGTCGAATGCCTAAAGATTGGTGTTCAACCTTGTGAAAATGATGTCATCAAGACCCAGGGATTTGCTAAACTTGACCTTTAGTTTTACAAGACTAAGAATTACTTAAAACGGGTAAGCCTTTCTTTAAAAACCCTCAAGGATAACCAGTAGTGGCTGAAGTGACGATGAGTGACCGGGCCGGGGAGCTGCCCGCGGTGGGAGGTGAGGCTCAGGTCTTGCCTGGCAGGCTCACGTGCCCGTGTAACCCCGCTCTTCGGCAGGTGCACAGACACACCGCCCTCGCCGCCAACACGCAGTCCCAGCAGAATATTCACACCACCACCCTGGCTCGGGCTAAAGGCGAGATCTTGAGAGTCATCGAGATACTTATCGAGAAGATGCCCACCGACGTCGTGGACCTGCTGGTGGAGGTAAGGCCGAGAGCTGGGGTTTGATGCAACAGCCAGTAAGGTGCCTGCAGCCAAATCGTAGCGTTTCTTCACAGACTGGGTTGGGTTGGAAGGGACCTGAAAGATCATCTGGTCCGAGCCCCCTGGCCCGGGCAGGGCCACCTTCCCCTAGAGCAGGTTGCTCCAAGCTCGTTTTGTGTGTGAAAAGAATTTTTTTTATACCCCCCAGCCCATTTTTTGATCTTTTTTAAAGCTTAAATCGCATTTAAATTACATTCAGTTGCATTGCTGGGGAAAAAGCCCAAGCAAGAGGGTTTGCTGGAGGTACGGGGTGTTGGTTAATGCTTGGCCTAGGTGATCTTCAAGGTCTTTTCCAACCTAGATGGTGCTGTGTGCTCATGGCGCTGGTACTTGAACGTGCTGGGGGATCACACGGGTGTTTTCACCTGTTGCATTTGCTGGTGCTGACAAATGTTTTTGAAGAATGGTACAGATGATGTACCAGGGTTGGGATGTCGCTACTGATGCCCAGGGGCTCTTTTCACACCTGAGCTACTTCTAGAGCTCTCACAGCTTCTGTTTCCCAGCAGTCTGTTGTTTTAGAACTGTTTGCAGGTTACTCTGAATGGTTCCAGTTGCCAGTGCCATTGCTTTTGTAAACTCTATCATATGCGAGACAGTTCTTGTGTGTTCTATCCCAACTGTACTTTCAAGTTAGATATCAAAGACGCAGTCAGCCCCTTCTCCCCAATCTCTATTTTTGCCTGTTAAAACTTTTATTATGAAACATAAAATACAGCATGTCAAATGATTTTAACTTTTGTTTCCAAGGTTATGGACATCATCATGTATTGCCTTGAGGGATCTTTAGTTAAGAAGAAGGGTCTTCAGGAATGCTTCCCAGCCATCTGCAGGTGAGCTCTTCCTCCGAGAATACTGTGAAATAAATTGTAGGGGCACCAGCAGGATGGATTTCTTAGGAGTGAAACAATCTTCTACATGATGCTTGCCCCTTAAAACAGCAAATGGGAAGAGTGTTTTTAATTCACCTATAAGCCTTTGTAGGCTTTTCTGCCCCATCTGACAGATGTGGATCAGAGGAAAAAAAAAAAGAATTAACCACTCCCTGAAATTTGGATATTTTTCAAAAGTCAAAAAAGAGGCAAATGTTGTGTAATCTCATGAAAAGCTCTGTGCTGCTCCCCCTCCATATGTCCTAGCTACCCCACTGGAACAGCCACCCAAGCTGAGCAGCTTCCCCCAAAGGATTTAGCAACGTCTTCGTTGTTACAAAAATGAGAATAATGTACTCGAGGAACAAGTTCCGATTCCAGTAGGCACAGCCTGCCCGGGTGAATTCATTGCCACCGTCAAAGCGACTCGGGGGGGGAAGAAGATGGTGCCAGCAGAAAACAGGGGTGTAGTTTGGGGGGCGTGGGGTGTTCCCAGACAGGCGGTGACGTGCCTCGACTCCCTGCAGCCAGGCACTGGCTCCTGCTGCCCTGCAGTGAGGGTTCAGCATCATCAGTCGTCTTTGTCTTGGGCCAGTTTGCTCTTAAAATGGCACTTTTACATAGTAAAATGTGATTTATAAAATGGGAACATTTACAGTATCTTTAGACTGTGATAAATATCCCAGTTATGCTATTAAACTGGTACGACCAATAAATTAAAATAATCAGCTGTCGGCCATTACATTTTAATTTAATAAGCTATTAAAATATTGAATAGTTTCAAGAAAAGAACAATTATCCTGTTGACAGGTAGGATACTGATAGAGGTAATCTTCCTTCTTCCTGATGCTTTAAAAGGCTTACCTTTAAAATGTAAACGCAAGGGTAAGTGGGAATTAGTGCAAAAATCTCCCTGTTCCTGTTGTATTTTTATAGGGATACGTTATCTTAAAATTTTGTTAAATTACTAGCAATATTTCCTATTCTACATAGTTATGGCCATTGTAAAAATGATGCAGCACCCCACCGACGTGATCGTTCAGCCCAGTGGAGATGTTCATCGGGTTTTAGCAAATGCTCCCATCTCTGGAGAGGTTCCAAGCGGAAGCACTTTGACATGAGCCTGTTGTTAATTCTCGTAGCGTGGCGGTGCTCTCTCCTCCTGCTGGGCTGCCCTGCGTGCTCCCCCCTTGGGGCAGAATCACCCGGGGGTCTCCCTGCTCGGTGCACAAGCCCTCATGGAAGGGCCTTGCTGGTGGCTGCCATGGCGAACGTTGGGTGGGGTCTCTGCGGCCGCTTGGGTGCGACGTTCCTGTTCCGTCAGGCCCAGGGCTGGGAGCGGCGTGAGCTGGATTCAAGTACCTGATTATCATTCCTCGTGGGTTTTCAGCTTTTTTGGCTCCTGGACCGATGCAGCAGTCATGCTGCTGCTTGCTGTGAGCATGACTCAGTCCTGATGGGTGGTGATGAGGTAAATCCATCACCGTGGATATTTTTGGATAGCATCTCTTCCAGCCTATGATTATGGTGTCTATTTGTTTTTCCCATCAGTGTTGCTCTTTGGAGAGGATTGTACTGCCTTTTGGCACACTCTCTGCAAACCCATTTCTTGCCAAAATAAAATAAGCGTTGACATACAATGCAATGAACATGAAAGATTTCTGAATTCCTTTAAAACTGCGAAGCATAATATTGAAATTTTGTTTGACTTGAGCATTTTCCAGGTTCAGCAGTTGCACTGCAGCTGAGGGGTCCCTGGTGGACTCTGTGTGGTCAGGTCACGTATTTCGTACAGTCCGCTGAGTTAAAGTTCTCTGGGTAACAGCGTAGTCTCACACAGGAAGGTAGATGAAATTTTAAATAACAAGTGTTTTATATGGTGTTTGACCAGGGAGTGGTCTTGCAGGAAGAGTGAGAACTTCAAGGATTAGACAAAGAGAGGTTGTGCAACAAAATTTTATACCTTGATTATTTCTAGGATTTTGTAGAGTATAATTGAAGGCAGTCCATCAGCTGGAGGGGCTGTTGTGGTAATGCTCAAGGGAGCCTGGAGGCTCGTTCTGTAGAAGCGGGGGGAAAAAAAGAATGAAATGTAAAATGGGACTGAAGAATATCGAAATGATAATCCAGAACCCCTCTGGCTATTGCAAGATACTCAAGTTTGCAATTAGAATTTAATGAAGCCGTGATGTTAATCAACAAAATTCTTTTATACAAATATTTAACATTCCAGTTTGGGCTGGTTTTGACTTAGAATGTTAGTTTTTTAAAAAAATAATGGTTTGGAACCCCCTGGATAGTTGAGCGGTCGCTAAGGTTGGTGGCTCTTTGCTGAGGCAGCGCTGCTGCTGCCTTCTCCACGTCAGCCTAAACCCGAGGCAGCAGCCCCTTCCCAACTGCCAGGCGTGCTGGCTCGTCTTCGCTGGAAGAGGAAAGATCATTTCCCCCCACAAATCCCAAACCCGGCCTGTGTACGGGGGGTCCCCCCGTAGCGCGGCACCTCGTTACCCTGCGACGGCCAGCCGGTGGAAATAAATCAGTAACATGGCCTAAACACACGCGGGCTTATCGTGCCCGGTTGAACTCTACAGCAGGGAGGCCTAGAAAGGGCTGCAAGGGATTGAAATACCTAACTCTGTGCTTGGAACAGTGCTAAGCTAACTAAAAGGTGATGTGGTAACGATCTGACAACCAAATGTCAGTTTAAGGACTCATTTATGTATTTTTTAGAAAAATAACCTAAACCCATCTATTTCCATGAAGCTTTTTCCCCCCCGAACTCTGCTGTGATGTCGTCTGGATTGGTCTTTTCAAAGGAAAAGCCTGACTCAGCGCTCGAAGCGGGCACTGAAAGGCAGTGAGGAGAGACGTGCTGTTCGCTGGCGGGTAATAGCGTGGGATATTCTCTCCCAAAATCTCCGGGGGGGGACAAGCAGGCTGGGCCCGTTCAGTAGCGTAAGAGAGTTAACGGGGATAGAAACCATTTGATGTAGAAACTCGCTGCTGTAGCCGTTTTGAAGGGATCGAGCAGCGTTGGAGGGGTGTGGGGGGTGTGTTATAAGTTTATCTATAAATCCTCAGTTTGCTGGTTACATAAAACAGCCTTAAAAACAGCCCCCTCCCCGCTCACCTGGGGCACCACCGTAACGGAGCGGGAGTGGCGAGACCCGCAGAAGCTGTCCTGTCCCCGCGGGGACCTGTTTGCCCACAGCATTCTCCCTTTTCTCTACTTCTTTCTCCCCGCTGGCTCCTGCCTCTCCTGCTCCCGAGCTATTTACCCACAGCTTTTGATTTCTAAGCACTTCTTTCAATCTTCTTAATAAACAAGGAACTATTACTATTATTCAGTGATAAACAAATAAATAAATGAATAATGTGGCCACCCAGAGGAATATGAAAAGCAGATTGATGAGGCAGATTCCGAGCTGAGTACTCTTGTCCTTTCTCCTGCACAACTAGTGATTTTCTTTGTTTTTTTTTTATTTTTCCCCCCATAACACCATGTTTCATGCTGGTTTTCTTCCTGACTGCCATCCTACACTGTAGGAACAAGTGTCTCATACCTGTAGGAGAGCAGTTGCTATGGCACTCTGGGAATCCTGGAGAACAAGGAGATAGTCATTGTAAGGTTTGGTGTTTGAAGCCATAAATATGGTCAGCAACATATTTTTTTTTTATAGACTGAATCTAGAAATCACTGGCAGACTTTGTTATAGTCAAATTTAACCGTGAAATTAAAATTTAATTGGAAATGCAGTCAGCAGTTTTCTCAGGGCTGCTGTCCCTTTTATAACGATAGTCCCAAAGATTTGAATTTTGACTCTCTTGTGTTTGAAGGTGTAGAAATTCCTGGAATTTTGCAACTGTTTGAATTGAAATCAATGCCGTGCAGTCACGCTGGACGTTAAGCACTATCCCAGGCTTCTCGGGGCCTTTGCACCTGGTGGATGTTACTGGATTAGAGAGCGTTTGATGAATTTTCCTCTTTTTTTTTTTTTTTTTGGTATGCCAATCAAAAATTTATGAGCTTGCATATTTTTCCCTACACTTTCTCTCGTTCTTTCTCATTTGATTTTCAAGAAGTGCTCTGAAACTACTCAGGGTTAGATTGTCTTGCTTAACCATTTGACATCCAGCGTTATTGGGGTGTTCCGCTGCAAACAGGGTATGCACGTGGACAGCCAGGGACCTGGGGGTGATCACGTGGATTATTCCCAAACTCCATGGAAGCGTTCAACACTGTGGAATAAAAATAATTAAATGTGCTCTGATTCTGTGGTAAGGTATCAAACGCCAGTTGGCTTTGTTTGCTGAATGCCAAGTATGAAAACTGGCAGCTGATGGATTTTGAAATCAAATCTCTGTTCTGGCCCTGATGTTAATTACCCAGTGGCATTGCAAATTAATTTTAACATCATGCAGGCAGGTCAGATCTCACCTGTTACTTGTTATAATGTTCAATTCAGGTTCTACATGGTCAGCTATTACGAGCGGAGTCACAGAATCGCAGTGGGAGCCCGCCATGGTTCAGTGGCCCTCTACGACATCCGGACTGGGAAATGTCAGGTAAATAAATCATTGTGACTTCCTCCCCATAACGCCTGGAAGTTATTGAAAGGAAAGAGCAGCGAGCTCTGCATCAGTTGACATGCTGAGCTGCTGGAACATTATGGATAATGCTGAAGGGATCAATAGTTTAATGAAGGACTCAAAGTATATAGAGCCCTACTGTCTTCATTCACTGGAGCTGAATGGGCTCCACAGATGGGTTAATAATGAAAGCCTCCAGTTAGGTGATACCCTGCTCTGAAATAAAGGAAAAAATCTGGGGTTTAAAAGTTAGGATTTATAGCAGTATACTTACCTACTGCAGGAGTCACAGAGAAAATCCACTGAGGCTTTTTCCTCCCTAAAACTCCTTTCTACAAACTGCTGTGACGCTTATGTTTGAGGTGTTTAGAATTTTCTGATGTTAAATAATTTCTTAGCAGTGATATGTTTAATGTTGAAATGGGTGCTTGGAATTTAAAAATGTTTTCATGACAAAGTATTTACCTTATCTTTTCAGGAAAGTTCACTGGTAACGTTCTTTATTATTCCTTGTGATCAGCTGTTATTTTTCATTGACTTTCAATAGCCTTTATATAAAGCTTGGATAAAATATCTGTATTTTGGATCTGCCTTTTTCTAAGTATAATTTTTTTGCTGTTTGTAAAAGCTGTTATCTTTAGTCCCTACAAAATGTGCATTATAGAGGAGGTGGTGTGGATTTCTTCCTGCTAGATCTGCGGTGTCACTCGGTCCTTGGCTGGCAGAACCACATGCTTGGGTATACGTGCCTGGTTCATTGTCTGCTCTGAAATTTTGGGGGTTCTTTTCCAAATCTAGTAGCTGACTACGTTGTCTGTTGCAGTATTTTTTGCTTAGACATCCATCCTATGGAAGTGAAGATGGCCAGATTTATTTTATAAATAGCTACATAATGCAGGCAGATAGGAAATGCGGACTGCTCTACCTTGTTTTAGCTTAAGTCATTTGGATCATGATTTATTAATTTAACTATAAAACGGGTCCACAGAAACTGCTGTATATTTATATGGCCAATGTCTCTCAGCATCGTTGCTGCCCGGCAGTCCCTGCCAGGACGAGCACTGTGCTGCGGAGCTGAGTGTGCCCCTGCCCAGATCTCTTCCCAATTCCATCCCTTCCCAGATCCCTTCCCACATCCCTTCCCTTCCCAGATCCTTTTCCTTGGCGTGGTCCCTGACCATTTCCCACCCACCCACGCTGGCCCTAGGGAGTAGCTGGCCGCCTCCCAGGGTGACCCTGGCCACGGGCTGTTTTGTTGGGCATCACCCTGCTGAAAGTGGGGAGCGGGAGGTCGGGGTGTCCTGGGGAGGGTTGGTGTCACAAGCTGAGAGCTGGTGCCTGATGCTGCTGGAGAGGGAGGGGTGGCGAGCAGAGCCCTACACTTCTGCTCTCGGAGCGCCGGGAGAGCGCTGGCAAAACCCCTCCAGGCCTGAGCCGGTGCTGTCGCCTCGGGCTTTTAACCTGCTCTGGTGCGGGCTTCAGCTGCGGAGCTGCCTCTCCTGCTCTGGCTGGGACAGAGGGAATTTTCCGTCTCAGTAGCTCGAGCAGTGTTTGGGGTTCAGGGGGGATCTGGGATGAGCAGAAGCTGATACCACGCTGGTGTTCACGGTTGGTGCGGGGAGATCAAGGTCTCCCCAACTCCCCCCGTCCTGCCCGTGTGTGGGTGCACGAGAAGCTGGGAGGGGGCACGGCCAGAGCCCCGGACCCCAGTTAACCAGTGGAGTGTTCCCTGTGGTGTGAGGCCCTGCTCAGGATGGAGAGGGGGGGCGGCCGGGAAGGGGGGGTTCTCTCCCGCTTCTGGGATTGCCGTGGGGGGATCTCGGTGTTTCGGGGTCACTGGGCGGGAGCGGGCTGGGGGTCAGTCAGCGGGGGGTGAGCGGTCGCGTTGCGCATTGCCCGTTTGTGCTTCCCATTATTGTCATTGTTTTATTCTATTGCAATTCCCCAACTGGTTTTTATCTCGACCTACAAGTCTGCCTTTCCCCGCGCCGTGGAGTCCCCGCGTCTGGGCGAGCGAGCGGCTGCGGGGGTCTGGCTGCCGCCCGGGTCTAAAGCACGACCTGGCTCCGAGGTGAGCGGAGGAGCCCGTTAGTGTCGGGGTGATTGTGGCTCGGCTGGGGGAGCGCGGGGGGCCTGGAACACCCCCCGCCCGGCCCGGGGCCCCGCAGCAGTTCTGCAGAGGCTGCAGGGCAGCACAGCAAGGTCAGCGTACGGTGCGTGTCCCGCCAGGGCCAGACCCTGGAGTTAGTAGGGTTTTTACACCATCTCCGTGACACTCGTAACAAAACATCCTGACTTACTCCCCGTTTCAGCAGTACCTTGTCAGAGCGATCCTCTCGGTTTGTTTGATGACTTGGTGAATATTCACAGCATTTGTTTTCTTACTTTCTTAAGTCCAAGGAGGTGATGGAAAGCAGAGACGGGTACGACTGAGGGGACTTTCAGGACAATTAGGGCAGGGTCCTTTGCAGATTTTATGATTATTCCTGAGCCAGGACAACTGGGTGAGTGCCAATATATGATTATTAGGGGGTGACGCCATCTATTGGATACAGGGTTTTTATTCCCAATCTCATCTTTTAAGTTATTTCTCACCGCTGGAGATTTCAGGCTGCTCGGAAGACATGAAATAATTCCAGGATTGTGTAGGTGACAAAGTTTTGAAATCGGGGGGGAAAAAAAAGCTCAAATGGTTCGTTTACTTTTTCCAGAAAGTGAAAGCCTTTCATAAAGTTTATCAGAATATTTCCACCGCCCCGGGGTGTGGACGGAGCGCAGCTGAGGACACAAACCTGGGCCGCAGCGGGGGGCCGTGCGCTGGAGCCCTTGGCCAGTCCCTCTCCCCCCCGCTCCCCTCCTGGGACCTTTTCACTTTCAGTGCTGATTTCTGCTTCATTTCCACCACCAAAAATGTTTGTCTGACACAGGCCATCCTCCAGCTTAAGCTCATTCTGTTTCTTTGTTGGTAATATTTCTTGAACAATATCACCAGAAACACACAATCCAAAAATTGCTTAGTCATTCACTGTTTCAAAAAAGAGGATTCTTTGAATCTTTTCCTGAAGCCATAAATGTAATTTTGTCTTTAGTAAATATGGTTTGAAAGGAAAAGTTTGAAAACATCTGAAAGTTTTATTAGTTGCCTCATCACAACTCACACGGAAACTGTTTTTTATCAGGCATCAGAATTACTTATTGGATGAGAAGAGGGGGAACTGCTTTCCCCCACCCCCCCATCCCCATTTATACTCCTCATTAAGGCTATCTGCTAATTGAGGTGACCGCTGGGACGAGCAGAGGGGAGGGCAGTGGGCTGAGGCTGCTGCAGGTGGGAGCTCCCCGGCACGTGAGGCCTCGCTCCCGCTGCAGCGGGCACGGCGCCTTCTCCTCTCACATCCATCCCAAAAGCCTCGGGTTTCTCCGTGCCCAGAGGAAGGTTGTTCCAGGATAGCGTTGGGTTCAAATATCCAGGGTTAGTGATATTTTATTTTATTATTTCCCACACCAGTATGGGTATCTAAGTCTTTGCACCACCACTGACCTTTAGCTTAAATAACTGGTTCTTCTCCTTGGGTGTTACCCCCCTGCCTTATTTACAGGCAGCCTCAACGCTCACTTTCAGCCTTTGCTTTGAAAGGTGAAGAGCAGAGGACTCTGAAAAACCCTTTTCTGTAACATACTCTCCATTTTTCATAATCCTCCTTAGGCAAAATACTCATTTATGTTCCGGGCTGTGCACAGGCTGACTTCAGTGTTTATTCCAGCCTCTGTGCTGAGCTGCCGCAGATCTTTCTTTTTCTCTCCTTCTGTGAATCCACACCAAAGCAGAACTTTGAAAGGCTTTTTATCTGAGTATTATTTTGCCAGATGAAACTGCATGTCAAAGCTGACACTTCTGCCGCCTCCCTGTTGTGCCCGTGGGTGTTCCTGTGAGGCAGAACCTCCTCTTCTCCCTCCAGCTTTGCCCCTCGCTCCTGGGGCGGGTTTTGGTGGTTGGTTATCGCTGCCAAGGCCGACCCTTGGCGCAGGGTGTGGGTCTGGGCTCACCGAACCCCCAGGAACTCACGGGGAGACCTACATCTTCCAGTTTTTCTTTTCTTTTGCACCAAAACCACTCTGAACTGCCATCCCGGGTATGAAGAGCAGTCAGGACTAAAAGTTCTCCGTCAATTAAAGCACTGCAGCCGAAATTAAAACCCTGGCTTATGGCAAAAGGTGGTGTAGGCAGGCAGCACCCTTCTCAGCCGAGGAGCGTGGTCTCACAGCCCCACTGAACCTGGGGGGTACATCATGCAAGTACGAACCAGGGTTCAGTATATTCTCACTAGAAAACATTCTTCACATTTCTCAGAAAGCTGAGACAGCAGTGGGTGCCTCCAAGCTCACCCCCAGTTCCCCTCTTACCTCTCCCCAGCTGGGGTGGGCAGCGTTCTGGGCTCACTGTGCAGCAGGGGACCGTGCCCCGGCTGCCCTCAGACTGTTGAGGAGGGCACCCCTGCCTGCCCCACCGCACTCCCCTCCCTTGGGGTGACACGCACAGGTAGACCAGCCCTCCTGGGGAGGCAGAGGGGCTTCTGCTTCCTTTTTCCCCGCATGGAACATCTTGCCCTCCCTCCCTGCCCTGTGCAGCATCTCTGCCCGGGTGCTTCAAACTGGAAACCGGCTTTTTGGGGCAAGGTCTCTCGGTTCGGAGCTCCAGAGAGCAAGCTCAGGCGAGCCCTGTTTGGGGAGGGGGTGTTTGAGCTGCGGGGATCCCCCGGGGCAGGTGGGGGGCAGGCGGGGGGGCAGGCAGGCTCCTCATCCCCAAGGCAAGGCAGCGGTTGCTCTAAGACCTGCCCGCTGGCTCAGTGCCGGCACCGGCCGCCTCGGTGCGCCGAAGCCGCGTTGCTCTGAAAAAAATATCAGAAATGCTCATAAAAGACAGCCGATTTCTTTGCTTGCAGTTGCTTTTGATTTTGTGACGTTTGCGTTGAATA